AATTATTTAAAAATAATTTTCTACATTTATTCTAAAACATAAATTAATGTCACATCTAGCACGCCGTACAACGTGATGCAGGCCGGGCGGTATAGCGCGGCGTCTAAATAGCGCGCGCACGGGATAATGATAATTTTAAATCAGAATAACTATAAAAATATTAGTAATAGAAGGTTGTAACAAGTTTTAAAAACTTTTTTAATATTTTTTCTTTATTTCATACGCAGATACTATATAAAAATTTCTTCAAATAAAAAAGTTTTTCGCTTACCGAAAATCATGATACAATAAAGTTAATGTTTGAAGTTTAATCCATTTTCCAAAAAAAATACACTCACTATGGAACTTTAATTACCTCAGCTATCACCGCCTATGTGTTCTCAATCGATTAAAAAAAAGAGTTTGTGAATAAGTTAATTAGTTTAGGAGTTATCGCGTAGGAAAGGTAAAAAAACATGTTTATCCATTTTTGACAGATTTTTGACATTTTCCGTTATAAAAAATTTCTGACCCCCCCAAAAAGGTCGTAATTAGTCATTTCACATGCACAAAGCCCTAACCGATCATCTCATAACGATTTTATGTGGTTATACCTTCAAAAATGTTTTTTCGAGAAGGAAGCGACTTTTCTTAGCGATTTTACTCCACTATACCGATTGATGTCCGAAGTCCATTTAGTTCAGCGTCTTTTTACCGCCCCTCATGTTTTGCCGCCCGGGTGCTTGTGTGTACTCGCTGCACCAGGGGTAAGCCGGTCCTGTGGACATCTAAAATTGCATCTAAACTTTTAGATAAGAATATGTGGAGCATATAATGTTTTAAAATATTTTCCACTTTTTACGGTATCCGATTTAACCAAAAATGGCTGTAAATTTACTTATTTTCAATAGAACCAAACCAACTAATTTTTGATTCCACATAAAATTCTAAACATATTACGTGTTTCCATTTTTTCCCATACCTAAGTATAAAACGGCTTCTACCATAGACTTAAAATAATATATAGACTACACTATTTACATCTAAACGCGGTCAAACAATCTTTTTTGTACACATGTTTACTTCTGGGTACAGTCGACCGAGCCTTCCTCATCCAGCCTATGTTGTCACGTCTTTAATATTATCAATATTTTTTTCTTGTTATACACATATATTGAGATATTAATACTACATTTTAATAAAGTAGGTTTTAATATGCCATAGATGTATTAAATAGTCCTTATACTACTAAATTATAAGTCGGATACTATTTAAAAAGGATAAGTTCTTTACATTACGGCAACACCGATTAGAGGCAAGGGGTCGCCTATTCATTCATTTATTACCTTGCAGTACGCATCGCACGTGTGCGGTAAAGCTTTGTTGCCGCTATGCCCCCGGCTGTACTAACGCATTTTCTTAGCTTGTAGTCCTTAAGTGTTTATTTTATTTACTTTTTCTGTTCAAGAACTATAAAATATGGTTCGCCAGTGCCAAATTTGCAAGAAATTTGACTTAAATAATTCATTTATGTCTTGAAACGACTTTCGACCGGTAGGCACCTCTCAATTTACCCATTGGGAGTCAGTGGCGTTGTTGTAGAAAGGCGCTTATTTAGATAATATTTTAGTGAAATGTAAAATCTGATTTTTTTCTCTTACATAATCATTTATATAAAGGTTTATGTAACAAAATCATAATTATTATAACACTGTTAATAATTAATAATGATTTTATAAAAATATATTCCGGTTTATTCTAAAATTATCTTCAGAATCTAAATAAATAACATACAAGAATTTTAAAATGATATTACATTATGAAACAATATTTTTTAATATACCTGGTTCGTCTCAAAAGTGGCTCACCCCCTATAACTTTTTTATTTTTTCAGATAAAAAAAAACAGATTTGTATGTTAGTAGGTATATGACATAAATAAGGATTGATTGACGTATTCAATTGTTTTTGGTCTCTTCCTATTTCACCGGAAATGATTACATCTTTTGTTTTTTAAAGGCACTCTCGGTATATTGCTACTTTATTCGATAAAAAATTACATTCTGAATAGAATGACATATCATATGTAAACTTTTGACATTGTCGCTTAAAAACAAATCGTATTTTAAATTTCAATCCAGGGTGCCATGGTGTTGTTAAAAACACTAAGTTTTAATCAAGGAGCCTTGGAAAAATAGTTTTGATCGTCTAATGGGTTTCGTGTCTTGTCTAGACCGGTTAAAAGATGTATAAATTGTATTTTTAATCATATGTCAATTTTTTCAAATGGAACAAGGGTGACTCATTAGCATATTTGGAAAAAGCATTTTTTTATGAATATATTGATACAACACATTTGGTATTTCGAGTCAAATTGTAGTTATGAACCGCGTATTACAATTACAATTAAACCATATGCGAAAATGTCAAAAGTTGACATATGATATGTCATTCTATTCAGACTGCCATTTTCTATCGAATAAAGTAGAAATATACCGAGGGTGCCATTTAAAAATTAAAAGTTATAGTCATTTCCGGTGAAACAGGGAGTAACCAAAAACAATACACTACCCTCTATAAAACCGTCCCAGATACTGGCTTTTGTCAAAGCCCTGGGACTGTATGATGAGTTATGATTCAAGAAAGGGGGACACAATGGATCTGTAAGGTCGAAGTGATTAACCCCCCTCCCACTCATTCTAATTCTAATTCTAATTCTAACCAAAAACAATTGAATGCGTCAATCAATCCTAATTTATGTCATATACTCACATACTAAATCTTGTTTTTTTATTTGAAAAAATAAAAAAATTATGGGGATGAGCCACTTTTGGGACGCACCCGGTATAATAAAGACAGTACCCAATTAAATAAATGTAGTTTTCATTTTATCCACTTCATATTATCCTATCACTTTCCTTGCTTTAATCGAACAGATTTATGTTTTCTCTAATTTACATAATAAGACATCACTTAATCAGAAAAAAAAAATTACAACAATCATAATTTTTTTTCTCTCCCTGTCGCCGATACTATTATATCTGTAGAATAGATCCTGTTTTCATTAATATTAGGGGTTGTAAATGTATGACTAAAATTAATATTTTTTTTTTAATAATTTCAAAAATTAAATAATTTCGATTATAAAATTTCTTCTATAACATGTATTTTATTATTTTTATCCTTTTTGGACTCTAATAAGTTTTTTCAAAACTTTTATTTAAAAAAAAACCTTTCCTAAATCTTAATAAAATACAAAAAAGTTTAAATACGATATATTTTTAATTTAATTATAGTTTCATTAAAATAAAAAAATTACCCGGCTATGATACGGAGAATTCAGGTGCACTTGAGAAACGAAAGACCAGTGTTGCGTTTCTCGTCAGGGTGCATCCATACTATCCTAAAAACGGCGTATCGGCGTAACGGCGTAACGACCTTGAATCGATTTCCAGTAATTCTATTGGCTGAAATTTTTGACAGATGAATTTGATAGATAAAATTTCTGACAGATGAATTTTTCAGCCAATAGAATTAGTGGAAATCTATTCAAGGTCGCTACGCCGTTACGCCGATACGCCGTTTTTAGGATAGTGTGGATGCACCCTTAGAGTCGTCAGGGAACGACCGTTACGACAGAGACAACCTATCTATCGCTCGTGTCGCACTCGTTATAACCTAAAACAATAACACAACAATAACAAGACATTGTCTGACCGCATGTTCCAGCTATTTATGAATGAGATGCTCAGTCTATATTTTATTTTAAGTCTATGGCTTCTAAGCTATTCGCGAAATTCGGAAGTATTCTTTCAATAAATCCAATGCTTTTCTTATGTTGCGGAGAATCTTGGCTAATCTCGGCCGCGAACAAGCCATGATTGGTTGTTTGTTTTTTTGAGTTTCTGGAAATGATTCGAGAAATGTTTCGACAAAACTTCATTTTACTTCATGAAGTAATCAGCCAAACTTTGTAGTGGCTTTAGAAAAACAAAACATGAAGTATGAATAAATATCATTAGTTTGTAACGGAGTGTAATTAATACCACTATATTACACTGATATGAAAAATGAAAAATAGGTACCGATGCATTAAATTGGCTATTCCTCGAAGGATACAAGAATATTATTTAGTTTTAAACATTGTCTAATATTATTAATAATATAGTAAAAAATATAATTCCAAAACTTAAAATCGTAGAACTGTAGGGCAACAGTGACTAACTAGCTGTCCGCCTCTTATTGGCTTATAGTCCACGGTGTTATCCCTGGTGAAGAAAATATACACAAAACTATTTAAAACAATCGTCTAATTCACAAAACTATTTAAAAAATCGTCTAATTATTTCTTAACTATTTAAAAAAATCGTCTAAATTTCGTTAAATGGGTTTTTATCAAACCATGCTGGGTAGTGTTGGATGAGATTCTGGGAATTGTCTCAGATCTCACACCACCGGTCCAGCTCTTGACACGCACCTACAACGTCCTTCTTCCGAATAAGGACGAATGGGATAAGCCGAAAAACGGTTTATCACATGCGGAAATGTGTTGGTACAGGCACGGATACAAGAACGAAAAAGGATCTGGCGCAGGAATTTACTGCAGCAGTACAAAGCCTGAGATCTACCACAGTCTTGGGACCACAATGGATACGTACTTTAATAAGAATAATCTATAATGGTTGATCTTCTGATTTAATTTAATTAAATCAATCATTTAACTTTTTTAATCATTCCAACTGGGAATGCTACATTTGGACGTTATTATTGTCAATACATTATTTACTGAAACATTACAACCTTGTTTGTATTTTTAAACACATACACATATTAAAAATTATATTAAAGCGGATAAACAGTCTGTCCAACGAAAGAATATCTTACAGTGACAGTTGCTGTGTGTCATTAAATCAAAAGTAATGTGAATTTTTAGAGGTAGTCTGTCAAAATCTAGACTCTTCTATCGCTGTACAGACTTTAGTATGGATATGGAATGAACATGAAAAAACGAATAAATCTTACCATACGACCAATGCCCCGGTATTCTCCATAAAACATATCAAATAATATGCCAAGTAGACGTATCTTGTGGGACCATCTCTGGGTGCTATAAAAGCTAGAACATAAGCTAAACCCAGAGCCACTGATAGTAGCAGTTCTTCGCAGCGACTGCTGCAGGCTGCGGTTTGGTGCTGACCAATGGCCAGCCAGATGGACATAACGCCCCAGTGAATGCCGCAGATGACTCCCATCCAGGTGGGCAGGATGGCGCCTAGCAGGCTGAGGGCCAAAACTCTTGATACTTAAAAAAATAAGATATTAATGGGACTAAGGAAAAATCTAATTTCGGACTGGCATTGTACGTGTTTTTTTATTATCTAGCTAAAACTTAAGCTCCGAATAATTGAATAAAATACTTAAAGGCATGAACAAAATTAGCGAGACGACAAAGGTATTTTAATATGGCTGGCTTGAATTGCGGTTTGTCATTGGCGTATTATTTTTTGCATAATAAAGTATAGAGTAGAGTAGACGATTTGTTTAATATTTATTAAAATCGCGAAAACATATTTTTCTAATAAAAATAAATAAGGTAATATATGTATGTAGTTAAAAGTATTGTTACTTGTTACGTTTTTCCTCGGTTCCGTGTGGATAGAAAGTCACAATTGATTTAAACACAATTTATTTAACACTAATTAACAAAAATAATAACGATAAAAGACTTAAAGAACTATTTACAAACGATTTATAACTATTTATCTATAAAGAATTTATTTTGAATTTTAGCGCGTCAACTGTACTCGTCTATTTATGTCTGTCCTCTTCAGGCTCAGCCGTCTGTTTATATACTCACAGCTCTGGTTCTCGAATAGCCGATATTTTTCCATTCGTCCTTGAATGGCGCCAAGCGTATTAGTCAGCTTAGACCGGGTTCACATGGGTCCGCAACACTGCCCCCTTCTTAGATACATGCTCGTACCGAGATGTATACGGTGAATGAAGGTATTTGCAAAGCTGGCCCCTGGTACATCGAGAAGTCTGGTAGAAATAACAGTCTACAGTTTTCCCTCCCAATCTCAGCTTTGGGTTGTAGCAGCAAACGAGGATCTCGATACCCGTAAATCTAAACAAGACTTCAATCATGTTCTGGATTGTACGCCAACTCAAACCATCGAGTCCACACGCCAGCTTCGGAATAGCTAATCGTGTAATGTTGTTGTTTAGCAGGGCTTCTCTCAGTTCAATCAGGGTCTTACATAGATTGAGATAAGTCGGCCTACCCGGGGACCATTCCTTGGTAACTAGGTAGAAGATGTGTCTTGCTTGGCCATGCGCATTGTGTGTTAGCCTCAAGACGCTTCTAACCTCTGGATCCTGTTGGCGTAGTTCTCCGACACGCCCAAACTTCTCATTGAACGTCGCAGCGATGCCTCTAGACATTCGCAAGTCTCGGGCGAATAATCCGGAGGCACGGAAAAGAGGTTTCGTTGTTCTTCTTTGGTCACACCATACTGAGCCTTCTCACTGTTGTTGTATCGGGCCATGAAGTCGTCAAAGGACATCTCCGAATCAGGGGGATCAAAGCTGCAGGTTTTCACGGTCCCAGCACGATCTTCTATTTCGCCTTGATAGGGGCTCAAACGGCTGAAATGGACTATCCTCGGTTTTCTTTTTGACAATTTTCTGATACGGTATACGACGTCATTAATCCTATCTATGACTTCGTATGGGCCTTCCCACGAGGATTGTAGCTTCGGAGATAACTCACGACGTCTCTGCGGGTTGTATAGCCACACCAACTTCCCTGGTTGGTATCCTCCAAGCTCAGCTTGAATGTCGTAGTGTTCCTTCATTCGGTCACTAGCACTTTGAATATTTAGGCCGACTCGCTGATGGATGTCATCCATCCTTTGACGTAGTGTGTGGACATAATCTCTTCCGGCGACTTCTTCTCCCGGGCGGCAACCAAATTTCAGATCACAGGGTAGGCGCACTTCCCGTCCCATAACGATGCTGGCTGGAGTTTGCCCTGTAGATTCTTGGACGGATGAACGGTAGGCCAACAGGAACAGGTGAAGAAATTGTTACGGGATTTATATTCTCGTAGATTTATTTTCTAATTTTATTTATTTTGGGGTCAATATTGAAATTTTAGGACATTTCTTGAATTTAGTTTATTGTTTTATCAAACCTGGAACATTCGCCATTTCTTTAAAATCTAAAAACAAATTGGTAAATAATATAATTTCTAGGCTAAAATATGTTTATTTACTGTTGAATTACACTTTTTCTTTTAACAACATAAAAAAGGATCTAATTTCACTGTAAATTTCTCTGTTTCGTACTGCTTTATAGTTCTTCGAAGCTAAATACGATGCCTTCTATTTCAACAAGTTAAATTTGGATTATCATATTTTACACAAATTCCTTGGAATGCACCATTATTATAAAAATGCTATAGCTTTTCCCATGATTATAGTATGGATTTAACTCTATTTTGAATCGAACAAGTGTTGATATCAGTCTAGCACATTCAATTGTTGAACATCATAAACTAAAAATAAATAAAACGTTTAGTAATTATTAATAGATACTTTTAAATAGATTACTTAGGATGTGTGGCTGATATTTAGTCTCTTAAAGGCTTGCAAAATCGTAATTTTATTGAAATTAGCTTCAGTAGTGTTTCGACAGCGATGTGTTCACAGCGAAACAATATTTGAGGTTACTTTGTAATTTCTTATTCTGCGGCAACGTAAATATCGAGCATATTAGCATTAGTTACCGAATTAGGGTTTGATTGACAATTATATATATGACATATATATGATGGTGACTTTTTGATTGTTTACATCTTTGGTTTACATTGTATATTGGTTGAGTAATATTATTTTCCTCTAGTACTTTCGATTTCTTCTTCGATTTTCCTTTACTCTCAATACTTTCGATTTATTGGGTTTTTATATTTGACGTATTTCATGTTTTGCTCTTAGGGAGTATGTTATTTGGTTTATTGGCAACATTGATATGCTGTGTTTTTTACTACCCTTTTTGTCCGGTGTTCATCCATGATTCTTTCTTCTAGACTAGAACGATCCGTCTTGGTGTGTAGACACGTTTTGGGATCAAAGCCTTGTGCTGATTTAAGTTCTAGCAAATTCTCTTAAATAATTACTTTGTGAATAGTTTTGCCAGCAAGAATTTGAAGAAAAGAGTTAATGAATGGCCACATGACATCTCAGGTATGTTTTACGCCATTTTGTAGTTTTTCTTGAAGGTAATTTTTAACTTCTTTTTCAGGCCATTTAATTTAGTTTAACTTCGTTTTTATCTCCATTTAATTTTGGATTTGATCTCCATTTTACCTTTTTGTACTGCTGGATCTATTATTCGTTGCCGTTGCTGCCGTTTCTTCTTGCCATGAGGTCCCTACGTCACCCTTTGAATAAGACGTCACCCGTCTGTGTTCACCATGTGGTTCTGAGCTAACCATCACCTGATCACCTAGCTCATTTGATCCAGAAGACCTTCTGAGACCGATCACTATGGGATATTGAAGCCAGCTCACCGTCCGCCGTCTCCATAAGCAGTCAAAAGTCAGCAACCATCTGAGTCACCGACCACCGAGATTCTGGAATGTCCTGATAAGTACCCATTTCATTTCATTTTACTGTTTTGAGTTATTTCCGCCGAACAGTCTTATTAGACGTTCATTGAGTTTAATTATTTAATTTGCGTATTTAAATTAGTTATGGATTAATTTCTTTAAATTTTACTTGCGGCTCGTTCTGTGAACTTACTAGTAAGTGTCGCGAGTACGTATTTCAGTTTCCGAAATTCGGAGCGTTTGTTTAATAACTGTTTTGAGATTTATGATATCGATTTAATTATTTTGAGTTTAGACACTATCATTCAAGTTACCACTTGTGTACTGCTGATTCCTTTTGAGCTGTATCATTTTTGTAGTAAATTAATTTTCATTAATTTTAATTACTTTTATTAGTACGAATGTAATTTGAGTGTAAGATTTCAATACTTTTATCTGATATATTGGTATATTTCTATAATTTAAATTGATGACTAGGGTCCAGAAAGTGGGTGGCGCTTATTTATATTTAATTTAGACACATTTAGTTATAACCCCCCCTACTCTCCGTAGAAGCTACCGATTTGGGCATTGACCTGTTTGAGGAGTAAGAGTTAAATAATTAAATAATAACTATTAGTTTGTTGCTGTCTCTTTTTCTTATATTATCTCACCGTAACATAGTTTTATTTAATTTGACACAGCTATAATATAAATTATAGTTTTTCTGTTGTCATATGAGAAAAAAAGGTTTTAGATATTTTGACACTCTTTTAGAGCTTTTTGTATCAGTAAACTTTTATAATATTTTAAGTTACCTTTCTCTCTTTCTATTCTTATTATTCTTATTTTTATTTTCTATTTTCTTTTTTTTATATTTTTTTTTCTCATGACAAAATTTGTCCCAGTCTCTTTGATGGTCAGATACTACTTTGGCCAAATAACGGTTAATAGTTCTGTTCATGCGTTCAACCATCCCATCGGATTGTGGATGTAGAGCAGTCGTCCTGGTCTTGCGGACGTTAAGGACTTCACATACGCCTTGGAACAGATTGGACTCAAAGTTTCTTCCCTGATCTGAGTGCAGCTCCATGGGAACACCAAACCTGCAGATCCATTCTTTAACAAGGGCATCAGCAATGGTGGACGCTTCTTGATTTGGCAACGCGTAGGCCTCGACCCATTTGCTGAAGTAATCCATTACTACCACAATGTATTTCTTGCCATCGTTCGTCTCCGGGAAAGGACCAGCCACGTCGATCGCTATTCGTTCGAAGGGACTGCCAACATTGTCCTGGCGCATAGTGGTCCATTTATCACGCTATTGTGGTCCGTTGATGGCTGCGCAAGTGTCACATTTCTTACACCAGGCCCTCACATCTTCTTTGCAGTTCACCCAATAGAACCGTTTACGCAGCTTGTCAAGTGTCTTGGTAACACCAAGATGTCCACCGCTGGTTCCATTGTGAACTTCCTCCAAGGCTTCCGGGACCCTCTTCTTTGGAATGACGATCTGCCTTTTCTCTTCTTGTCCCTCCGGTCTCTCGATCACACGGCGAAGTAATCCGTTATCTATTACCAAGGAATTCCACTGGGCCCAGTACGACTTCGCGTTCGGCGAATATCTGCAAACTTCCTCCCATGTTGGTCTTTGGTCTGCAGTTTTCCAGTTAATAACTAAGCCTAATTCTGGGTCACTGATTTGGTCGTTT